CACTTTAATTTTCTCTGCAACTTTTGCCTCAGGCGTCATTTCGATCTGAACCCAACAAACAATTGAGAGCTCTTATAAACACCTGAGTTGATCAAACGTTGAATAATAGCTTCCAGAGTTGAACTAGAATGTAGTTGTATTGCCATTTGATTAAAAGTTTTAAGAGCTGTTGGAGCACTCTTAAATGATTGTTTACGTTCGGTTTAACTATATGCTTTATATGACCTACGATAACTTTTATAGCACCTTTGTTAAACTGATTGACAAGAGCTATATAGAACGTGACATAAACGCATCAAAACAAACCATTGGGAGCTCTTATACAACACCTGAGTTGATCAAACGTTGAATAATAGCTTCCACAGTTGTACAAGAATGTAGTTGTATTGCCATTTGGTTAAAAGCTTCAAAAACTGCTTGGAGCACTCTTAAATGATTGTTTACGTTCGGTTAAACTGTTTGACAGGAGCCATATAGGATGTGGAATAAACGCATCAAAACAAACCATTGGGAGCTCTTATACAACACCTGAGTTGATCAAACGTTGAATAATAGCTTCCAGAGTTGAACAAGAATGTAGTTGTATTGCCATTTGGTTAAAAGCTTCAAAAACTGCTTGGAGCACTCTTAAATGATTGTTTACGTTCGGTTAAACTGTTTGACAGGAGCCATATAGGATGTGGAATAAACTCATCAAAACAAACCATTGGGAGCTCTTATACAACACCTGAGTTGATCAAACGTTGAATAATAGCTTCCACAGTTGTACAAGAATGTAGTTGTATTGCCATTTGGTTAAAAGCTTCAAAAACTGCTTGGAGCACTCTTAAATGATTGTTTACGTTCGGTTAAACTGTTTGACAGGAGCCATATAGGATGTGGAATAAACGCATCAAAACAAACCATTGGGAGCTCTTATACAACACCTGAGTTGATCAAACGTTGAATAATAGCTTCCAGAGTTGAACAAGAATGTAGTTGTATTGCCATTTGGTTAAAAGCTTCAAAAACTGCTTGGAGCACTCTTAAATGATTGTTTACGTTCGGTTAAACTGTTTGACAGGAGCCATATAGGATGTGGAATAAACGCATCAAAACAAACCATTGGGAGCTCTTATACAACACCTGAGTTGATCAAACGTTGAATAATAGCTTCCACAGTTGTACAAGAATGTAGTTGTATTGCCATTTGGTTAAAAGCTTCAAAAACTGCTTGGAGCACTCTTAAATGATTGTTTACGTTCGGTTAAACTGTTTGACAGGAGCCATATAGGATGTGGAATAAACGCATCAAAACAAACCATTGGGAGCTCTTATACAACACCTGAGTTGATCAAACGTTGAATAATAGCTTCCACAGTTGTACAAGAATGTAGTTGTATTGCCTTTTTGGTTAGAAGCATCAAAAGCTGCTTGGAGCACTCTTAAATGATTGTTTACGTTCGGTTTAACTATATGCTTTATAAGACCTACGATAACTTTTATAGCACCTTAGTTAAACTGATTCACAAGAGCTATACAGAACGTGCAATAAACGCATCAAAACAAACCATTTGGAGCTCTTATAAACACCTGAGTTGATCAAACGTTGAATAATAGCTTCCAGAGTTGAACAAGAATGTAGCTGTATTGTCTTTTTGGTTAAAAGCTTCAAAAGCTGCTTGGAGCACTCTTAAATGATTGTTTACGTTCGACCAACCACAATTTTGTTGCTAAAAATAGCACAAGTGATAGGCATGTTTATATAACCATAAGGCAATGATTATTCGACTGCAAGAGAAGTCACTCAAGATGAGCTTGATATACTTCTCTCATATGATCAAAATATGTATTCAAGAACAGAGCAGATGGAAACAGAAGCGGCTGGCAATCCGGGATCATGAGTTCGAATCTTGCTTCGAGAAACCCTCGGTTGGAGTAGAGGTAAATTATATATAGGTGTTATTAATAAATGCAAACATTAATTTAAGACATATATCATATAATCAACGATAACATTTCTAGATAAATTCTCTCAATTAATGATTAGAGAGATTAATTGAAAGAATATCAATCAAATATTAAACAGATGCTTGTAACTACTTCCTCGATGATCACAGAATGTGAATTATGGCATAATTACATATTTTTTCAATGTGCACAAATAAATTAATAAAAACTGTACAAGCAATTATTTTGGCGTACCACGACAATTGTTAAACTAATTTTAATCTGTGCATATTGTGAGTACTTACACAACGGTTATTAAGGAGTCATTAAAAAGTGCTATAAACGCTTTTCACCGCTTGCTGTATAGTGATTATTTAGGAGTCATAAAAGAGTGTAACAAACGCCTCTCAGGTTCAATCTCTAAAACATTTCGAAGCAGCTGTTAGGAGGTGTCTACAAACGTTGTATTAGAGCTTTCACCAAAACAATAAAGCTTGAGTTTAAATATGTATCTATAAACGTTGTATAAAAGTCGCTTCTATCCGGTTGTTAAGGAGTCATTGAAAAGTGCTATAAACGCTTTTCACCGCTTGCTGTTCAATTAATATTTAGGAGTCATAAAAGAGTGTAACAAACGCCTCTCAGGTTTCCTCTCTACTAAATTTCAAAGCAGCTGTTAGGAGGTGTCTACAAACGTTGTATTAGAGCTTTCACCAAAACAATAAAGCTTGAGTTTAAATATGTATCTATAAACGTTGTATAAAAGTCGCTTCTATCCGGTTGTTAAGGAGTCATTGAAAAGTGCTATAAACGCTTTTCACCGCTTGCTGTACAATGATTATTTAGGAGTCATAAAAGAGTGCAACAAACGCCTCTCAGGTTTCCTCTCTACTAAATTTCAAAGCAGCTGTTAGGAGGTGTCTACAAACGTTGTATTAGAGCTTTCACCAAAATAATAAAGCTTGAGTTTAAATATGTATCTATAAACGTTGTATAAAAGTTGCTTCTACTCCTATACCGCGTATACATATAATGCTGTAGTTGAACAGGTTCTCCAAACCAGTGTAAACAAGAGTTTTACAGAAGTTGTAATAAACAAATTGTACAGTTATTATTCAGCATGCAGTTGAATAAAATCACAATGGAAGCGTTTCTTCAACAAGAAATTGATTTTGGATAAACGTTTTACTGAATACGTTAGACAACACCTTTGTGTTGCAGTTGTATAGGTTCTCCAAACCAGTGTAAACAAGGGTTTTATAAAAGTTGTAGTGAACACATTGTGCAATTATTATTCAACATGCAGCTGAACAAAATCAAAACGAAAGCGTTTCTTCAACTGGAAATTGTTACTTGGGAAGTGACGTTTTCGTGCTACAATTTATTGGAAAATTTCAATGCAGCGGCTGTAGGACGGATCTCTGACTCTCTCTTATTTGGTAGTCATTATATGCATTTTTTATATGGAATACATTAGAGAGCGAGAGAGATCCATCCTACAGTCATCACTATCAATTAATTGTATGAACAAATTCTGTCCCATGATTCATTTCACAGATCTCTTCTCATCTAAAATCCATTTTGTTTGTGAAATCAATCTATTATATTTGTCAATCAATAAATCGATGAACTTGAGTCGCTTTCTACCGCGACCAGTGCGATATGTGTGGAAAAATGATACGTAAAATCTTTAATTTAATTTTTTAAACGTTTGATTGTATTCATCATTCATCAATATGGCACATCCATCGCTCAGTTCGCGGTAGAAAGCGAATCAAGTTCATCGATTTTATCGATTTTTGATCGACAAATGGACATAGGACCTATTCAAAAAGGACTCCAATATTATGTATTGTCAACTTGAATGCAAACGTTTCAGAAGTAAATTGTAATCAATTAATTCACAAGAAAATTCGATCCATAGTCGATTTATGCCAATAATCAGCACCTGGCACTTCTGCAATGAAATTAGCAAAATCAAACATTATTAATTACCGTTTGTAAAATTTCCCAATGAAAGGGAATCCCCCCAAGGTCAGTTGTGCCATGTAAAGTACAGTTACGCATGCATAATCTATGCAGACAATCATACAAGTAAATAGTGGACCGTCTGTATTGGAGTTCACCAAAAGCGAGTTACTCGCAACATATCTACCTCCGTTCCGAAGGATAGAAGGATATAGAAAGAAATTTCAAACTTCTTTCTTTGTCCTTCGCATGCATTCAGAAATAAGACGAACGACGAAAGCAAAACAGAACAACACACACACAACACAACGACGTACCCCAAGTTTGCGCCACAGTGAAAACAAAATCAAGAGTAGGAAGCGTGTGTGTGATCTGCTCACCGTCGCTTTCATCGTATCGTCTTCTTGTATGCAGCTGTGGGTCCGTGGTATAGGTAAATAAAAACTAATAACAAGAAAATGTGGTAGGCATTGGTAGACATGATAGAATAGTAGAGGATTCTTGAGAGTATTCCAAGGGATGCAATCTACGTGCATCCAAACAGAACATACCGTTCTGATTCATATTTCGGCCACTTCAAAATTATATCGACAGTGAGCATGCATAAGGGCGTATACGCGATGATCGATTCTCTTCATCGATTTTCTCTTTGCATTGCTACAGCTAAGCGAAACAATTTTCTACAATTTTTGCAATGCAGAGTTGTGACAGGTTGTATTGGCTATCAAAAGCAACAACAAACGCACCGAGAAACATTAAATCTAGCGAGTTATTAACAAATGAGAAAATCGACGATGAAATACCTATAATACCAACATCCTAGTTTTATATCTATAAAAACCGAGGGGCGTTTCTAAAGGGACAAGCGCGATAATTAGATGTTTCAAGTTGGTGTCCGAAATATGAATCAGAACGGTACTAGAGTGTAGATGTGTGCGTGAGATCCAGTGAGCATTTTCGGTTGGGAAAACAAAAGCGAAGGCAGCAGGCAGAGGGGTTTGTCGCTTGATGACGATTTCGATAGGTAGAGAATAGAATTTTCCCGCCTTTCTGTGAGGTTATAAAAGTCCTGCGTTTGACCTACTGGAGCATCAGTTTATATGCGTTTTTCGAAGTGATAAGTTCTCTTGTGAAAGGATAACCGTAACCGTATTGTTCGAAGGAAAGGAAGGAAAGCAAAATGGCTCGTACCAAGCAGACTGCCCGTAAATCGACAGGAGGAAAGGCTCCCCGCAAGCAGCTGGCCACAAAAGCGGCCCGCAAGAGTGCACCATCCACCGGTGGCGTCAAGAAGCCTCATCGTTACCGGCCGGGAACGGTGGCGCTGCGTGAAATCCGTCGCTACCAAAAGTCGACGGAACTGTTGATCCGCAAGCTGCCGTTCCAGCGTCTAGTGCGTGAAATTGCGCAGGATTTTAAGACGGATTTGCGCTTCCAAAGTGCCGCCGTTGCCGCCCTGCAGGAAGCTAGCGAAGCGTACCTGGTGGGACTCTTCGAGGATACCAATTTGTGCGCGATCCATGCCAAGCGCGTCACCATTATGCCCAAGGATATCCAGCTGGCCCGCCGTATCCGTGGAGAGCGTGCCTAAGGGGGAAGCGAGCGAATGGAGTTTGGTTTCGGAAGCGGAAAAACGTTGAAAGAAATACACAAAAAAAAAAACAAAAAGGTCCTTTTCAGGACCAGCCATTTGCGTCCATTAAAGAGTTGAATTTTCGAACTTTTTGAATATCGAGGGGAAGCGTCTTTTCTCTGAAGAGGAATATTAACGGTCGTTTCTTGTTCCTATTGTCGCGTGTAGTGGTGTTGGTTTGGTGAGATTAGAAAAATGCGGCGTCGGTTGGGACATAGTAGGGATAATGTTTAGGGTAGGAGGTGACAATATGGTCGGTTTCATGCAATGTTGTTAACTCAATTTTTCCGTTATATCCGTTAAAAGCATAGTAAAACCAAATAATATCACTGTATTACACCTTATTTTCAAAAGCCGCATGTTTCGCTAGCGGTGGATTGACAAAACAGGAATAAAATTTCCATTCGAAATATAAAAACGTAGTGAAATTTTCAGATTTATATTATTAGTTGTGACATGTTGTTGCATGAAACCGACGATATGAAAAATAGAACGTATATCAAGACGTTCTTAAGCTGGGTTTAGACTAGGTAAGTTAAATGATCAACTCAGTTGAATTCAATTGGCTTGAAAAGTTGAGCCTGGTTCAACTATTTTCAATTCAAGTCAGTTGAATGGCATGGTTTACACATTCAATTCGCGTTCAAGTCAGTTGAATTCAACTGACTTGATAAATTAACTTGCCCTGTCTAAACCCAGCTTTATAGTTTACAAAAACAGTTACGCCAAAATCTTATATCAGTCCGGATATTCCGGGCAGCGTTGCCAAATATACCGATTTATAATTATATATATATATAGTGTTACCACACTCATGCTTCATGTTGATATTACTATAGCATTTCCTCCCAAGTCCTTGCCTTGGTAGTTTCACCCAACATTCCGCAGAAATTTTCTTCCACCTTCAAGTCCAAAGAACATCAGGTAAATTTAATAGTTTTCACGACTGTTCCATTTGTTTCAGGAGGATTGAGAGAACTTTAGGAAAGCTATGTGCATATCAGGACAGATTAATTAATTTCAATTTTGTAAACGTAAGATAAGTTCAAGGATAAGTTACATTTTAAGGAACGTGTCGTGCTCCGTGGCTGTTTTTTTCGAGATCTTTTAACAAACTAGACCAATCGGGAAGATCACAGAACTTCAAAGCTGATCTCCAGATTTGACTCTGGACTTGTTTAGTCTAAATAAATTTTAAACCATATTAAATAAAAATACCTCATATTTAAAAATCGGTTGTTTTTATCCAAGTTATTCAATGTTTACACACGTTTACATACTGATATAAAATATGGCGCATGCTGCATTTATTTCAACGTCTGCTGCACAGATTGAAAAATACTTTAACTAATTAAATGATTTGTATTAAACTAGTATAATACAAATTATTTAATTAGTTAAAGTATTTTTACAAAATTTAATTAGTTAAATTATTTTTAATGTATTTTAAAACGATCTCTACTTATGTTAAAATCAAAAAGTTTTACATCATCCAATAAATTAAAACACTTTTCAAGCGGATGTTTTTTTTTTTCGAACACAGTGCGATGTCCTCGAGAGGGGGGGAGGGGGGGCTGACTCTATCTACGATGCAGGAAAGATTTTGTTTTGCTGTGATGATGCACGATGCAAGTAGATGCTAGAAATGAAAGAAGATTTTTCGTAGATTGATTTGCTAGTGTGTGATTTTTCTAGCATCTAGCAATATAGATGTGAAGAATTCGATTTGAAAGCTTTGAAAAACATCTAGAGAACTTGTTTTTTTAACTACTTTTTTTAATCGCGTTAGCTTTACGAAGCCGATAGTTCATTGTTCTTTTCACATTGGTACAGAGGTACATTGTCGAAGGAGGTACATTGTCGAAGGATAGGATCAGGGGAGGAGCTTGGAGGTAAGGTTTCGTTGTCTCATCAGAGCGTTTTCGCCAGTATGAATGGTAGTGCGGTTCTAGTTTCGTCTGGAGTTCGACCGGCTATGGTGACCAGTGGGCGACGATGAGACTCATCGAGACGGGGGGACAAGACAAACAAAAACTATTAAAGAGAGACAAAAGACAAAGGAATTAAATTCTTATACTAGACATTTGAAGAAGCACATAAACCGACTGCATATAGCAGATATCGTGAGTTCCCAACACGTCTCTGATAGGAACATAGAGTTGTCTTCCTTGGGCCTAAAGGGTATTCAAAAGTCGCTCTCTGGCGGCGTTATTATCCGCACATTGCCAAACTGCGTGATCGATGTCATCGTAACCGTTTCCACACCGACACATGTTGCTGTCCACGAGGATTATTCTATTGAGATGTGCATCTTGCAAGTAGTGGTTGGACAGAAGTCTACTCATCACGCGAATGAAGTCACGACTTAAGTCCAAACGCTCTCGAAGAAACATTAGGAATAATTTAATGTAACCACCGTCCAAGATTTCCACTGTCCCAATCGGTTTGCCAACTTTAAAGAACTTGATTGAAATCATATTGGAATTCCACGGAAATAAACTAAGTTCTATAAAACTTATTCAAAGATGCCTGTACTTCTACAAAGTTTCTTCAATTCAATTCCATGATCCCAAATAAAGCTCCCTGAACTTCTTCGCAATCCTTTTAACTTATCCCTGAGCCTATATGAAGTTCCCTGAAAGTTCTGATTCGAATTTGTGGAAAGTTGCGTCGAAGGAACTTTTACAACATTTTATGAACTTATACGATTTGTTTATAGCTTATACAAACTACAAATAAACGTTTACCAAGATGACTGAACTTTCTTGAATTTTTCTTATGTCTCATTCACTGTTCCCGGAAATTTGACCGAGAGCTCAGAACAACGTGTTGAATTTCTACCGTATTCCTATCTACTCCCTGAATTCCATGAATTTCTCGAAAATCTAGTCGAGCTTCTATGAACTTCCTTGAATAAAATTCCTGCTCCTCGTAGAAGTTTTGTGAAGTTTCTCGATTTTCTATTTAACTGAACGGTGAACTACTATAAATTCGCTGCCCTTCTATGAAGCTTTCCGATCATTTAAGAATTGCATTTATTTTCTGTTCCCTAAAGATCTATATAAAAAATCAATTCAATTCCCAGGGAAAATAATGATTTTAACGAAATATGGGCCATTTCTAAAAACAATATTTGGTACAGATATTTTTTTCTGCAACACCTATTCCAAATATTTTTTACTTATTTCGCTTCAAAAGCTATATTTCAAGACCAACAATTGAAATGACCTCAACTCCGTTTTGTAAACAAACCTTGTAAGGCCATTTTCTCGCGAACCTAAACCTTCATTCGCAAACCACAATCGGGTAGAGGAGAATTTTATCTACCTGTTCATTATGTTGGTTTGCCTTTGCGGACTTCGGTTCGCGAGAAAATGGCCTTACAAGGTTTGTTTACCAAATGGAGTTAAGGCCATTTCAATTGTTGGTCTTGATTTTTGGAAAAATGTTCAAAACTCCATTTCCGGTTAACATTTTGCCCATGGGAAAGAGGTGGTACGTATTTTGTGGTTGAAACACCAAAAAACATATTATCCACAAGTTCCACACCGCTGTCTGCCGCTGTCACCCACACACTCGCAGTTTTTTTTGACAGTATATTCTGCAAAGTGCGAAGCGAAAACAAATTCGAACAACACATCATCGTCTCTCCCGCAGATGGTTTATGAAAATTGATTGAAACAACCCATCAAATCAGTGGAATTTGCCGATAAAACATCATGATTCACAGTTTATTCATCGTCAATTCCAGTGGGTAAGTAAAGTTGAGCCGATTGGCGTGGAATCTAAGGTGGAAAAGGTGAAATTTCCTTCCCATTAGAAAGTGATTCGTTCGGTGTTTTGAATCGATCCCAAATCAGTGCTGGCAGATTATACCATTTTCTATCTTTCCTTCCAGCGATGTGTTCTTGGAGAAACATTGGCGGAGTGTTGTGTCCCGGACATGCGTGTCCTACTTCCTGGATGTCCAACGGGAGAATCCCAATGTAGGCAGCTGGCGGAGCACTTTTTGATCAACGATTTCTAAATGAGTGTTCCAATTCTAGGACGTACCACCGGTGATTTCCACCCCGCACCATTTTCTGGTTTCGATCCAGCGCGGAGGTGTTTCGCTAGTCGCTGCCTGCAAGCAGGAATGTCCCCCGTTGTTTGTCATCGAGTTCCTCCACAGAGTGGTGGATACGTTTGAGGACTACTTCTCCGAATGTACCGAAAGCATAATTAAGGAAAACTACGTGGTCGTGTATGAACTGCTGGATGAAATGTTGGACAATGGATTCCCACTGGCGACGGAGAGTAACATTCTGAAGGAGCTGATCAAACCGCCGAATATCCTGAGAACGATAGCCAATTCCGTTACCGGCAAATCAAAGTAGGGAAGGTGAGATTTCTGCTTTGAGCCGAAATTAAATGGGTGGTTTAATTTCTAGTGTCAGTGGAACGCTTCCTACCGGTCAGCTGTCGGCCATTCCGTGGAGAAGAACCGGTGTCAAGTACACCAACAATGAGGCCTATTTTGATGTCGTCGAGGAAGTGGATGCCATCATCGATAAGAACGGGCAAACGATTTTCGCTGAAATACAGGGATATGTAAGATTTTTCCCTATGTTAACTTCATTTCAGTATCCTTAAAAGATTAAAATTTAATGATTCCAGATTGATTGCTGCATCAAGCTGAGTGGAATGCCGGACCTGACCCTGTCCTTCATGAACCCCCGTTTATTCGACGATGTATCATTTCATCCGTGTGTCCGCTTCAAGCGTTGGGAATCGGAACGTATTCTTTCGTTCATTCCACCGGACGGAAACTTCCGGCTGATGTCGTACCACGTTGGTTCCCAGAGTGTCGTAGCGATTCCGATCTACGTGCGTCACAATTTGAGCCTGAAACCGGGAGAGCAGGGTCGAATGGACATTACGGTGGGACCGAAAACGACGCTGGGTCGAGTGGTGGAAGGCGTCAAGCTGGAAATTCGCATGCCAAAGTCGGTGTTGACCTGTGCACTGCTTGCCAGCCAGGGCAAGTATACGTTCGATCCGGTGACGAAAACACTCCACTGGGACGTGGGAAGAATTGACGTTACGAAATTGCCCAACATCAGGGGTACGGTCTCGGTGGCGTCGGGATGCACTTCGCTGGAAACCAGTATTGACAGGTGAGATTTTTAAACCTCCTTTCAAACGTTTTGCAATGTTTCTTATGATTTGGCATATTTCAGGGTGCAATTCACGATCTCCCAGCTTGCCGTATCCGGATTGAAAGTTAATCGATTGGATATGTACGGTGAAAAGTATAAACCCTTCAAAGGGGTGAAATATGTTACCAAGGCTGGGAAGTTCCAGATCCGTATGTGAAGGTAATTTATGGTAATCTCAAATTTTATGTTGTATCCATCTAGTAGTATCCTTTATATAAGCTATAAGCGATTATGTACCATTCCAATGGCGGAGGAGTTTCATTGTTCCGAAATCCAATTTTAATCTGAGCTACGGGGGCGTCTTGAATGCTTCAGAGGGTCTGACACATACTTGCTTTACATTCACTGGTTTTACTAGGGCACGTCTAAATCGAAAAGATTGATTCGATAGGTTGTAGGGCAAGATGGGGTAAGATGCACTGGGTGGCGTAGCCTGGGCAATGTTGTTAATCCGACAATAGCAAAGTGAGGAGGTGCGACGCGAACACTGGCACGGTTGTAGAGGAAATGCTGCGCCAACCTAAGATTGCAGCCTTATCACGAACATAGGAGACCTTAGGTCAACCACCTAATGTCTCCGAAGTTTATACATTGTTACAGAAACCAACAGCGAAAGATGACGAACTGATTTTACGGCAACTCGAAATCCTGGGACTGAGTGAAGTCCGTCGGCCGAACACGGGTTCCCTAAACCTTACCATAATCCAATGTTCTGCGCCAATCGATGCTGTCGAGCTACAGGACAAGGAGAATTTCTACAGTCAACTGAATGCAGTCGTGGATTAAGTCTAAAGGGTAACTCGGTGAAATGAGCGGAAAACGGTGAGCTGTCCGCAGAATTTTGTGGCAATAACGATATGGTGACTGGGTGTTCGCTTTTTCACTATCGACCAGTGCACAAAGCCACGTGGGTTTCCGGTGATGGACATATTATTATTATTTAACTTTATTAATGAGGCTTTCAGCCTTGGGCTGGTTCGCCTCCACTGTGATGGACATACCGAAAATCAAATTGACCACATCTGTATCAGCCGAAAATGGGGACGGAGCCTTCTGGACGTCCGGAATAAACGCAGCGCCGTCATCGCGTCTGACCTTCGCATTGCACGGATCCAGCGGAGGGAGGAGAGGCTCGGACGGTAATTAAACACACGCCGACGAAAAGATCAAGCTGTGAAAAGATCGTTCGTTGAAGAACTTGAGATCCGAACATGTTCCGGACGTTCCGGAAGGTGGCAGCATAGAGGAACAGTGGATGGCCATCTTCTACTTCCTTTATTTAACGTCGGTCTCTGTTCCGCAATCCAGTGCCAATCACCGACGGACATCGATTGCCATACATTGACGGGAATCGAATGTGCAGTAAGGCATCTTCCACACCTGCGTAGGATATCGCACCCATTCACAACACACATGGGCCGGGACCAACGGCTTTACTTCCCTGACCTTGACGTGACCAGAGATTTTTATGCCTCAGAAAAATCCCACCGACCTCGGCTGGGATTGAACCCAGACCCATTGGGGTGAGAAAGCTGTCACGCTTACCACTACATCACCGGCGCCGGTGACGGTGGCGAAAAAAGTCGAAAGCTGAAGAGCGTAGAGAAGCAAAAGTGTGTCAACGGTTCTAGAGAAGGAAGTCAAATGTTTTGCAGACGGGACAAGCGAGCGTGGATGGACTACCTGGGGGAGAAAGCCGCAACAACTGGCGATATCCGCATCCTCTACGACATTTCACGACGCCTGATTGGAGCAAGGATGAATCCGAAGATGTCAGTGAAAGACGCGACTGGACAGTTACTTTCCACTGACCAGCTGATACGTTGGTTTGAGCACTTCGAACAACTTCTTCAAGTTTCGACGTCCAACCAGCCATCAACATCTCGGTATGTTCCTCCAAGGGTACGGCGAATCACTCGCGTCAACTCCAAGGGCCCATCACTGCAGGAGATTGAAGCAGTTATCCCGAAGTATGAAATCCAACAAGGCTCCCGGGGTCGATCGTAATTAACTAGGCAGAGCAATTGGAAAAGAACTTCTTTATTGAACGAAGGTTTGTGAAGGAATGAATAAATTAGTGACACGAATCTTCATGGGTTGCTACATGCTTGTTGTTTGGACAGAGTTGATCGGTTGCTACTCAACATCCCCGCTCAACCGAACAATCCCAGCTTTTCTCGAAGAAATGTGAACGGTCCTCTTGGCAAGGCCTTCGTGAATATATCAGCTGCTTGCTCATTGGTCGGTACGTACATTATCTTGAAAGCACCTTCTTGAATCTTCTCGCGCATGAAGTTGTATCGAATATCTATGTGCTTCATATGTCTATGGTCTCGGGGCTCCTCAGCTATTCGAATGCAAGATTGATTATCTTCAAATATTGGTATGGGATGCTCGAACGTAGAACCAAATTCGCACAGCAAGTTACGCAGCCATATTGCTTCACACATCGCTTGACTAAGGGAAACATATTCCGCTTCTGTTGACGACAGGGCTACAGTTGCTTGCTTCTTTGTATTCCAGGATACCGTCGCACCATAAACTTGGAAAACGTTCCCGGAAATTGATTTTCTGTCCTCTGTCCTGGGTGTCAGTAGGGAAAGCTTGAAATCTGCTGAAATAACTTACAGCTGCGCTTATGTCCGGCCTTGATGATATCGTCAAGTAGGTCAGACATCCAATCAATTCGCGATACGGGTGTGTTGTTGGGTTGTCATCCTTGTTGGTGTCCAGCTTCAAATTCGGGTCCATTGGGGTACTAACGGGGTTACAATCCTCCATACCAAATCTTCTCAACATGTCTGCAATGTATTTCGGTTGGCTGATCTTCATTCTTCCAGTCTTGAAATTTCGTTCAACCTTCAACCCCAGATAGTGTTTCAGTTCACCCATGTCCGTCATTTCGAAATTCTTGGTCAACATCGTTTTGATTTCTGCTACAGAATCCAGTGAGTTCGAGACAATGATGATGTCATCCACGTACAATAGTATGTACATTACAGTCTTTTCTTGTCGCTTCCAATACAAACAGCTATCCAATTTTGATCGTCGAAATCCGAGCTTCAGTACATACGAATTGAACTGTTCGTTCCAACTCCTCGGAGCTTGCTTTAACCCGTATAACGACTTCTTCAAATGGCATACTAGTTGAGGATTGTCGCTCTGCAGTCCTTCAGGTTGACGCATATAGATGTCTTCCTTCAGCAGGCCGTTCAGGAATGCCGTCTTCACATCCATCTGGTGCACATGGTACTGCGCCTGATTCGCCACTGCAAGCAACACCCGAACAGTAGTAATCTTCGCCACAGGAGCATATGTTTCATTATCGTCGAATCCTTTCCTTTGAGAATAGCCCTTCGCTACGAGGCGTGCCTTGAATCGATCCACGTTTCCAGCTTCATCACGTTTGACTTTGAAAACCCACTTGCTGTCGATGATATTCTTGCCTGGTGGTTTCGGCACTAGCTCCCATGTTCCGTTCTTCCGCAATGAGTCAAGCTCGCTGTCTATGGCATCTTTCCAGTCCGACCAGTCGCTTCGCTCCTTCAGTCCAGCTATTGTCGAAGGTAGGTTGTCCACGTACGCCTCTGCACTAAGTGCATACGCCATCACGGAATCATCAATGGTCTCGGTAGCACCTGCAAAACTTTGATCGGCAGAATTCGCCCCAAAGCTGGTAATGAAATCAAGGAACTTACCGGGAATTCTGCGCTCCCGTCCGCTATGCCTCGTGAGCACTTCTGCCGAGCAGTTGTCACGTTCTGGTTGCGAAGGGAGCGCGCCGGTTGGTTCCTCCTCCTCGTCAACAACTTGAACGTCGATTGGTTCCTCCAGCTCGTCAATCACTTGAACGTCTGCGGTTGGTTCTTCCATCTCGTCTTGAACGTCTTCTGTTTCTAGTTGTTCCTCTCGGCAATCATTATCTCCAAATGGCATCGGTATCGACTTCACTGTAGCTTCAACGACTTGTCGCTCGTCGAACACAACATCACGAGACGTGAATATCTTCCTCGTTCTAGGGTCCCAAATGCGATATCCATTCGTTGTATATCCTACCATCACATTCTTCGAGGTTTTAGAGTCCAGCTTGTCACGTTTTTCTTTGGGTATCCACGTATACGCAATCGATCCAAAAACGCGCATCTTGTCCACGTTTGGTTTCTTGCCATACCAGATTTCATATGGAGTTTTCTTTTCTTGAAGAGCAGACGTCGGACTTCGGTTCAACACATATGCAGCAGTCTGCACAGCTTCGCCCCACATTGATTTAGACAATTCAGCATCTTGCAGCATCGACCGGGCCTTCTCCGACAGTGTTCTATTCATCCTTTCTGATACTCCATTTTGTTGTGGACTGTACGGCACCGTGAATTCCAGTTGAACTCCTTCAGCACGACAGAAACTTCGAAATGATTTGCTGCTGTATTCTCCTCCGTTATCGCACCTGAGCCTAGCTATTTTCACGCCGAAGAATGCTGTCACCTGGGCATGGTAACGCTCGAACATCTTTTGAACTTCGTCCTTTGACTCCAACAAATAGACTACGGTGAAGTGGCTAAAATCATCGATGAACGTTACATAATATCGCTTTCCGTTCCAGGTAGTCGGAGTGAATGGTCCGCACACATCCGAGTGGACCAATTCTAGCAGTCGGCTTGAACGTCGTTCCGTCGATTCTTCAAATGCTTGCCTAGTCTGCTTCCCAGCCAAACATATTTCGCAGATACAACTATTTGGCCAGTCTTGAATTTTCGAAGAAGTTTCAACCATCGCATTCTTCCACAGACTCTTCAGATTACCTGCGCCAAGATGACCATACCTTCTATGCCACAAATCGAACCCATCGCTTTTGAACACCATCGCACTTGCGCATCCTGCCTCACTTCCGTCTCGGACAAAAATATCTAACGCATACAATTGACCCAATCGCCGACCAGTACAGACAATATAGTCACCTTTCCGCTGACGATCTTGACTGTCATATCATTATCTTCCAATCTCCGCACCGAAAACAGGTTGCATTGTAGCTCCGGCACGTATAATACCTCGTTTACCACGGCAGGTTGCTTCTTTCCATCGACCAGCATATCCACTCTTACGGTACCAGCGGTTTCAGCAACAATAACTTGGCCAGACTTCGCAACAGCTATGTGCATTTTACGCTTCAATGAATGTAATTCTTCGAACAACGATTTGTCTTTCAACATGTGATCAGTGGCGCC